CCATCCCTCAGGAATTCCAAGAGCTTGAACCTAAGGCCATCCTTCTGAGGAATGAATATCAAGGATATACTAGAACGTATAACTAGAGAATTTTATTTTCTTATGAGTTATACTATTTTATTATATATTTGATAATAGGTGTTTTAAAGAAAATATATTGAAGAATTGAAACTGTTTTGTCTCCTGTAGTTTTATTTTTCAATAGCCATATATATTAAAAAACAAATAAATTAGTTAATATGAAGTGATTAGGATGGGCAAGCCAGTAAAAAGCTTGTAAAGAGACAGATAAGGATATGGCAGTGTTTTCTAAACAGTAATTAAAAAATGTCAAGACAGGGACAAAAAAAAACACCTCGAAGTACTAATTTCCGGAAAAGAATACTATAAAAACTAGTGGTTTCCCACATTTTGGTAATCATTATTTAGAAGACTTAAAAAAAAAAAAAAAAAAAAAAAAAAAAAAAAAAACTCCACCCACAACAGAAAGAAAACATAAAATCATAAAATGCTTTGGAAAACCTCGACAAAAAATGCTGAGTTCTTAAGTAAACAAGAAAATTTTATTGTAAGAAATGAAAGGGTTCAATACACACAAAAATGTTATAGAAGAGAAAAAAGAAGAGTGTATTTTAATTGTATCCAAAGTAAATATAAGAAACACTCCCCATGAAAATCCCAACATATTATTTAAATATGTTTTCATTGCTTTTTAGAGAGAGAGGAAGGAGAGGGAGAGAAACATTGATCAGTTGCTTTTCGCATGCACCCCTACCAGGGATCAAGCCTGCCACCTGAGTATGTGCCCTGATGGGTAATCGAACCTATGACCTTTCGGTCCACAGGACAAAGCTCAACCAACTGAGCCACACTGACCAGGGCTGAATCTCTATGTATTTTAAAAGTTGAGAACATTATTCAAAAGTCCATCTCCATAATGCAAAATAATGCTGTCAAGACGGCAGCACAGGTAGGTGCATGCTCCCATCCTCCCACAACTACCTCCAAGGTACAGCTAGTCTACAGAACAACCAGGCTTCAGAATTGCCTAAGGCCCAGCGAGCAGAAGTCCTAGAGCTGAGGGTGTGGAGAGGCAGCCACTTCAAGGCTGATGCAAGCAGGCTGATTCCACACCCACGTGTGGGGGCTAAAAATTAGGAGGGATGTCTCGGCAAAGGGTCCCAGCCCCACACCAGGCCCCTCAGCCAGGGTTCAAGTGCTGGGAAGAGAAGGTCCTATAACTTCTGGCTGTGAAAACCAGCAGAGATTGTGGCCGAGTGAGGGGGGAGGGGGGGGCGGAGGGGGTGTTTTCTGTAGTCTCAGGCAGTTCCTCTTAAAGGGCCTGCCCAAGGACTTACTCCAACCTGCTCCCTCTGGGTCCTATGAGGATTTAAAGAAGGAATAAGATATTGACCTTGATTTCATGTAGCTTCCACTTGATTTGAAATATAAATACATAAGAATCAATATGTTAGGGGGAAAAAACAAGATATTTTAAAACACTTTAAGTACAGATGGTATACTATTATGCCATTACTATGATAAATTATCAAAGTCATACACATAAGGCACCTGATTTTTAATATAATGACACCCCTGTGAGTCTGCAAGAATGTTCTCAGTAAAATGTGTCCCAAGGAACTGACAGCAATAACTAATTCAACACAGTACATTAAGAGTATCCCCATTTTATGTAGGATGGTGTGTATGAACAAGATTTTAATTTTAGGTTAGTTCCAAATATACTGCTTGCTACCTTCTGGCATAGGAGGAATCATAAGCAAAACAGAAAAGAAAAAAAAAACCCACAAAAAAACAAGAGGTGTATCTATTTGAATTTCTCAAGAACAACACTTCTCTCTCTCCCACTTCTTTTCTCTTTGAAATCAATAAAAATATATTTAAGAAATAAAATAAAATTAAATAAAAGGAATAATGACAATATTACATGTCTTGTTCAGATAGATCAAATCATCTGATTTCCCCTACAGTGGAGATTTGAAGAGATGCTAAGTTGATGTACATAATAATGTGAAGAACAGAGCAATCAAGAAACTATTTACTACTGAGTTTCTGCTTTTTTGTTCGTGTGTGTGTGTGTGTGTGTGTGTGTGTGGTGTACTTTCAGAAGAACAGATCTTGATGTGAACAGTGTGTGTGTTAGGGCTGGCGTTGGTAGAAAAGAGAGAGAACAGAGTTCTCCTTATTCAGAGATTAGCTAAAGAGGAGGATTTTGTTGTCTGTTCCTTTTGCTTTGTGGCCCAGAATCTATACTCTCTCTCATTAGACAACTGAGGAGCTCCTTTCTCAGTTTTATTAACTAGGCCTTCTTACGCAAGACTCTCAGTGCCCCATGAATTGCTGAGTGGGTGCCACCGTACACAAACCCACAGATGGTAACGTGTGTGGTTTGGTGATTCTGGTGGGATTTAGAGCAGTGTGTTTGTGAAGCTGGGGAAGTACTCAGACTCGAGGTAGAGGTCAACGAATGGGAAACTGGGTTTTCTGTGGAAGCAGCGGTGTCAGACTTGACCTTTAGAAGGTGATGATAAGCTTAGAGATGTGACAGGGGTGGGTGGGGAGGGCGAAATGGGTGGAGTCTAAAGGTACAAACTTCAGTGGTAAAGGAAACAATTCCTGGGGACGTGACAGACAGATGGTGACCTTAGTTCAGTGATTTTCACCCCTTCCCAGATCAGGGCACATAAGCTTAGTACTAAAAGTCTGAAGCACACCAAGAAATATATTTTTTGCTCATCTGACAAAACAAATTGGAATAATTTTAATTTATTCACAATGGACAGATATTGTTGTGCTGGCTGTTGTCATATATATATATATATATATATATATATATATATATATATATATATTCCTCTATCTATCTATCTTGGTTAATCCTCACCAGAGGATATTTTTCCATTGATTTTTTTGAGAGAGTGGAAGGGAGAGGGAGAGACAGAAAGAAACATCAATGTGGGAGAGACACATCATTGGTTGACTTCTGCACACACCCTGCAACCAAGGTACATGCCCTTGACCAGAATCAAACCCATGAGCTAATGCTCTATCCACTGAGCCAAGACAACTAGGGCTGCTGTCACTTTTTATTTGACAATCTGAGGGAAAAGAGGTCACTGCTCCTGGCTAAAATAGTATTGCAAGCACACCGGCTGAAAATTGCTACTGCAGTTAATACTGTGTTGCTTATTTGAAAGTTGCTAAGAGAATAGATCTTAAAACTCTCATCACAAGAAAAAATTCTACAACTATGTTTGGTGACAGATGTTAACTAGACTTATTGTGATGATCATTTGACAGGATATGCAAATATCAAATCCTTACGTTGGACACCTGAGACTAATATAATGTTGCATGTCAGAAATACCTCAGCAAAAACTGAGACAGACTGAGAACATCATAAGAAGAATATTTGGCAATTTATTTTCAAATGAACAAATAATATATATAAACTGAGTGGCCAATTATTATGATCTCTGAACACATAATAATCTGGCCACTCAGTGTGTGTGTGTGTGTATGTGTTTGTGTGTGTGTATGTTAGAGGCCCGGTGCATGAATTCATGCATGGGTGGTATCTGGCAAGCCTGAGCAGGTGGAGGGGAGATAGGCCTGCTGGTTGAACTCCTGGTTGAGGGGACAATTTGCATATTAGCCTTTTATTATATAGGGGAAATCATAATAATCTGGCCACTCAATATATATATATATATATATTCACTATATGCAAAATGCTACTCTAGATATTTGAGCATAAAGAAAAGAAATAATGATTTGAATAACATCCCTATTTGTAAGGAGCTTAAAATGCAATTAAAAATAAAGAATAAAGGCTCAAAAGTCTAATTAAAGCACAGAAGTCATATAACCAAAATAGTATGAAGGATAACTTGACATATTACATGATTAAGTCTCTGGATCACAGCTTATTAAACCTGACAGTGCCTGTGACATGATAGACAGAGGTTTTAAGAAGGAAGTGCTGAGCTCTACCCCACACCTCCTGAATGAAACTTCTGGGCAGGGTGTGGAAGATCAGGGGGTTCAAATTCGGAGAAGGGAGAGGAGTTGGGGGCGATGAGACCCGGCATCTTGTACTTCCTAACGCTCCCCGTTGATCCCGATTAAAACAGCCTGGCACAGCCTCGTAGAGAAGAAGTGCTGGAGGGTCCCTGTGGGTCAGGATGGCACCCTGGGCAGGCCTACTCCTACCAGGGATGTGGCGCGTAAGCCCATTGGGCTTGGAGTTCTGGCAGACGGTCCGCATTCACTCCCACTTTCCCATATCCCCGGGGACACGGAAAATCTAGCTGCGCTCCTGAGAGGGAGTGGACACGGGGAAGTTGCACCGCGCCATGGACGGGCGGGTGGCACTGAGTTCCAAAGGCAAGGTCTTTCCTGCCCAACGCAGACAAAGAGGGAAATCCTGCCAGGGAAAGCAGCAGTGTGTTTTCAGGAAAGTGCAACCGGGCTTGAAGCCGGAGGCGGGGAAGGTCCAGTTAGAAGGAAGGATCCGTGCAGGGCGGCGCGGGACTGTGGACGGTATCGAGTTCCCTCCTCCGGGGCCCTGCGTTTTTATTACGGAAAAATCCAAATACCAAGTCTAGGGTTTTATGAATCTCCATTCAATACACTCTATGTTACTTTTGTTTTCTCAAGCTACCCTGAAAGGTCTGTCGTGTCTTGTTATTTTCATTATAATCTGCACATCGAGCTAAGGGTGCATTCTTGGCTGTGAACTTTTGTGGGGTGTGTTTTTCATACTCTTTTAAAGAAGGTTCTAGGCTCTTTAGTCAATTTTATTTCATCCTTGTACTTAACAGAGAAAAGCCAGGGCTGCAGTGACCTGGCATTGACGATATAGTGTCCGTGCACAAGATGCCCTGGTCAGCGTGCCAGACAGAAAGAGCACATCTCCAAGACGATGAGCATTGTTTCTGAAGATTTAAAGCTGGGGCGTACCCCAATGTCATGGTTACCTGAGTGAGTGGTTCCTGGTGAGATCAGGCTGACGCTCCTGTAGAATTTCAAAGATATTGGGTTGGCGCAGAAATGCAACAATCTTGTCATTGTAAGCTGAAAAGTCAGAAAACAGGACAACGTTTACAGACAACCTGTTATTAGTTTTGTGCATATGAACACAAACTTTTAACAATCTGTTTTTCTGGTTAATATTCCTGATACTCGAGCCACTACCAACACTTAAATTCCCCTCTGTGTCCATGCTGTTATGAACATTGGACTTAGATCTATCTGGTGTGATAGATTCTTTACCATTCATTACACTCATTTGATGAGTCATATTTGTCAGCAAATAGCAAGGTGAGATCACCAGGATCCTCTATATTGATCATTTCAATCTGCTGCTTATCAAAATCAACTACCTAAGAAATAGAAATAGGAATAGGAATAGGAACAGAAATAGAAAACTATCTTCTGATTACATATGAGCCATGCAGCGAGGTGAAGCGGCAGAGCAAGTCCCCAAAATGCAACGGTCGCCAGCAACAGCAACTACCAAAATGCAGAGAACAAGCCATTCCCAAACTCCATGTGGAAATAGATGCTGTCAAGCCACACACACAGCTCCTTACCAAACCAACTACATCCACACCTACAACACAATCAGCAACACCAACTATTTGTTAAAAGAAAAATGTATCTTAGCCAAGGTTGCCCTGTGCCCACAGAAATTTAAAAATCGTTACTTGAAATTTATTGAGAGCTTTTGTCATGAGGGCTTTTTTCTTTTATCAAGAAAAGTAGTTTTTTTTTGTTTTGTTTTTACTTCAGATGATTCATCTTGATTACATTTATTTATAATCAGAATTATAGGCATATTTAGAAATCCTTCACAACTTGTTTTTCTTTCACTTCAACCATCTAAGGCCATAGGTCTCCTCAGAGAAGGTGGCATTTAAAAATCTCCTCCTAGAGGGTTTTACAAGGCCTACGCGCTCTGAGATTCAGAGCGGTTTCTAGGGGCTGACGCAGAGTTCCTGAGTCCAGGGCAAGAGCAGCGGGTGGGTGGGCGGGCGGGCAAGGGGACAGTGCCAGCACAGCATGCAGGGGACCGGCGGGCGCGGGATGCAGGGTGGAGACTTCTGGGGAGGGGTGCCATACCCACTGGAACCATGTCCTGGTACTGCGGCCGGCTGACGGTGTTGAAGGTGCTGGACGGCCTGGGAAGGACGGGCGGCCCCGCGTGCCTCGTATCCTCTCCTACCTGCAGACACAGCATCACTCAGGCCCCGCACCGGGACCTCCCGTGCTCTATCCGCACCCCAGCCACGTTTTCCCTTTGGCTCTTTTTCTTTTTTGTGAATCCTCACCCGAAGATAGTTTTCCATTGTTTTTTAGGGCGAGTGGAAGTGAGAGGGAAAGACAGAGAGAAACATCCATGTGAGAGAAACATACCGAGTGGTGGACTCCTATACGCATCCTGACCAGGGCCCGAGCTAGGGAAGAGCCTGCAACCAAGGTACGTGCCCCTGATCAGAATCGAACCCAGGACCCTTTGATCCGCAGGCCGACGCTCTATCTACTGAGCCAAACCGGCGAGGCTTACGAGCATTGGCAGATTCCAACTGATCAGTAGGGATGCCAGGGGCGGGGAGCTGTCACGAGATCCCCAAAAGCTCTGCTTTCGTTGCTGAATGAGTGCAGGGGCGGGACCCCCGGGTCCTTGGGAAGGGCAGGGGCCGTGCCTGCTCACTGCGAGGCTCAGGGGTAGCTCCATGTGCTCACAGTGACAGAGGCTGCAGGAGCTCAACAGCACGCTGCTCAGCAGGGGTGCCTTCCGGCCACGGGACACGCAGAGGAAGACCCCCAGGGGACACACGTATCACATCGCTACAGTCAGGGGATCCTGCCTGCCAGAGGAGGGGCCGAGGGGCAGCCGCCTCCACGTGGTTCGGAGCTGTGGATTACCTGCTCAGGAGCGAGTCTGCTCGCCTGTCAGAGCGCCCGGCCCAGCAGCTCTTTCCGGTTTGACCTTCCCACGGGGGGAGCTAATCACAGCAGTTAGGTGTGGAGGAGCCAAATGGGGCTGCCCTGACCTGAATTAGCGATGGGGCCTGTTACAGACTCAGACACTCCTTCACACCAGCACACAAACAAAACATATTCTTGCCGAAACCAGTTTGGCTCAGCGGATAGAGCGTCGGCCTGCGGACTGAAGGGTCTCAGGTTGGATTCCAGTCAAGGGCATGTACCTTGGTTGCGGGCACATCCCCAGTGGGAGGTGTGCGGGAGGCAGCTGGTCAATGTTCCTCTCTCATCGATGTTTCTAGCTCTCTATCCCTCTCTCTTCCTCTCTGTAAAAAAAAAATAAAATAAAATAAATAAAAAAATAAAAAAAATAAAAAAATAAAAAAAATAAATATATATATATATATATATATATATATGAGAAAAATAAATAAAGACCTATAATATCTGTCTTTAAAAAAATAAATAAATAATAACACGCAGGGTTTGTAAATCGGCACTTCGAAAACAGAGCCTCTTCGCCCACCCACCCAAAGCTGCACAAGCCTTTTGCCACCTGGCATCAGAGCGGAGTTTGGTGAGGGCTTCTCTCAAGGCCCTGAAACTGGCAATGTCTCCCCACCCCGCACAGCGTGCTCACCCCCCGGAGGTTCCCGCTGTCCGTGTCAGCAGACGCCCCCACCCCCAGGCCTCCCCTCCCCGACGCCGAGATGAAGCGGAGCATCTCTGAGCTCCACAGCTGGGCTCCACACACACGCACATTTCTAACGGGGGATAGAGCGCTTCTCACGCGTGCTTTTCCACCTGCACCAGACTTCGTTTCCTCTACTCTCTCCCTGGTAAGAACACAGGACGGGAACCTACGTTATTGACGCGAATCACTCAAACAAGCCCCGTGTGGCCACGCTGCAGGTGCGGGGTCAGTACCCGCCGGCGGAGCGGATGGAAGAGATGCCCCAGGCCCCCGCCTGCGTGTCTGCTAAAGGCACAGAGGAGCGGGGCTGGGAGGCCCGGCCTGTGACTGAGCGGCTCTCACGCAGCCTCTGGGGGGTGGCTGGTCCCCGCATGAATCCCCGAAACTCAAGATGTGGGGAGACTCCAGGGGGAGCTGCACCTCGTGTGTCGGTCACAGTGTCATCCACAGACACGTTCCCTCCTGCCCGGAGGCTGCTGCTGCCATTTCCCAGGACAGCGGAGGTCTCCTCACACCCCATCCCTGTTCCCACCCAGAGGCCACCCTGGGGACCGCCTGACGTGCACCTTCCCTTGGGGTGCCAGGACACGTGTCCCCTCAAAGGCCGAACAAGGCGGGACCCCATGCTCAGTCCTTATGGGGTACCTCTCCCCACTGCTCAGTGCCCAGCAAGGCACAGAGCCATGGCCACTCAGATGTTAACGTGCCCCTTAGGGCCCCTTTCCCACCACGGGCTACTGCTGGCTCGTGGAGACAGTCTAGCTCATGGAAAGAAAACGCGAGTCCAGCTATTCATCTCACACACACACACACACACACACACACACACGCACACGCAGCCGAGCAGTCAGCCTCCTGGGGTGAAGTCCAGATAAGACGGGGGCTCAAGTGCACCGGCCACGGGGGCGAGTCGGGGCCGCGCCCTCACGTTGCTCCACGTCGTGCACGGGTCCAAAGGTGTGTCTGCCTGTCGGACGAATGCTGAGTGCATCCCCCACTTCGCCGCGAACGGGAGGGCAAGGTGCAGAGTTACTGGCCGCTCACAAGGCACAGATATTCCTGTGGCGACCTCTTCCCGCAGTGGGTCCTGTTTACACGCGCGCCTTGTGTACACGCCTGTGTCTGCGCTCACAGCCAGCACACACACGCTGGTGCGTGAGAGCCAGTGTGGGGAGGGGGGAGGGGGGAATTCCAGGGGGGAATTTTGGTGTCTCAAGTCCCGTCACTCACGGCACTCATAGTTGTTTCCTATAATAGAAGCTACATAGCTATGTGGCTTGCAACACCGTGCTGACAGCAGGGTAGACCCAGCCATGTGGAAGAGGCGTGCAGGAAAACACGCGGAGGTAAGCACGTCGAAGGGAATTATCAGAAACAACGCACATGCAGGGAGGATGTGTATCTAAAGCAGACGTCCCTGTGCGGAGGAGAAATGTGACCTCCAGCACTCTCCTTCTTTATTTCGGCCTCCACAGAAGAGGGGCAGGAAGGGGTGACGTCTGCTTTTGGTTAGGCTGTTAGAGAGCCCTCGTGTGATTGCCGTGGATCCCTGCACACTAGCCAAGCAGAGCTCCATAGAAATGTCAGTCATTCTTAATCCCACCCATTTTCTCTGGGCACTGACAGTGCACAAATCAGCTCTCGGATACACTCAACTTTAAAGAATACCAGTGAGTGGAAATGCCACAACCCCACAGCCTTGGCCAAAGATTTTCATGGAATCCAGCTAGCCTCATTTAAGAAACCCCCTTACATTTTATCCAAATTCAGCGCACTCATAGTCCCATCCCTTCTTTCCTGGGAAGCTGCCCTTAGAGGGTCAAAAGGGGTCAACATCCCCACTTTTTCATAAATATTTTATTGATTTCAGAGAGGAAGGGAGAGGCAACAGAGATGGAAATATCCGTGATGAGAGAGGATCATGGACCGGCTGCCTCACACCCCCAAACTGGAGACTGAGCCTGCAAGCAGGGCATGTGCCCTGACAGGATCAAACCATGACCTCCTGGTTCACAGGTCAACGCTCAACCACGGAGCCACACCAGTCAGGCTCACCACCCCTCTTCAATATTTCACCGCATTTTGAGTTCTCTCTTTCACCCTCCTCAGTGTAAGAAAGCCTCTGGTTTCTTTCGTCTCCCTCCCATAGCCTGCTTCTCCTCCTGGGCACGTGGGCTCCACGAGTCTCCAAAGAAGCCCTGTCAACATCCCAGCATTCCCACCCTCCAATGAGCATCTCTAAGTCACACCAGGAGGGCGAAACAGGGAGGAGGAGCCACACATCATCCCCTGGAGCACCCAGCAGCCCCAGTCAGGGGGTCCCAGGGTCAGCAGCCCCGGTTGGGGGGTCTCGGGGTCAGCAGCCCCGGTTGGGGGGGGGAGTCTCGGGGTCAGTGGCCCCGGTTGGGGGGGGGAGTCTCGGGGTCAGTGGCCTCGGTTGGGGGGTCTCAGGGTCAGCAGCCCCGGTCGGGGGGTCTCGGGGTCAGCAGCCCCGGTTGGGGGGTCTCAGGGTCAGCAGCCCCGGTCGGGGGGTCTCGGGGTCAGTGGCCCCGGTTGGGGGGGTCTCAGGGTCAGCAGCCCGGGTTGGGGGGGGTCTCGGGGTCAGCAGCCCCGGTTGGGGGGTCTCGGGGTCAGCGGCCCCGGTTGGGGGGGTCTCAGGGTCAGCAGCCCCGGTCGGGGGGTCTCGGGGTCAGCGGCCCCGGTCGGGGGGTCTCAGGGTCAGCGGCCCCGGTCGGCGGTCCCCGGTGACTCACCTCGCCCGCGCTGTGGCTGCGCTGCCGGGTCAGGTGCTGCCGGTGCACCAGCGCGCTCGTGGGCCTGCTGCTCTGCAGGGGGAGCCGGGGGTCGATGAACGTGGTGGTCCGGGAGTTGTGGTCAACAAAGAACGCCTAGGAGGCAAGCCACACAGTGGTCAGCGCTCGCCACACACTTCTCAGCTGACCTGCCACGTCTCACTTTTGAGCAATGGTCTTAACTACTCCATTTCCTCCTAATTTGGGGGAAATTTCTCCTTACCGCCCCCCCCTGTCCACCAACCCCCAGAAAAGACCAAAACAGAGAAAGACATGCTTCAGTTGGATCTGGAATGAGGAGAGCAGGAGGGCACCGGATTCCTGGTTTTAGGAAATACTCTGGGCGACAGTCATCAAAGATAGGATCTCAGAAAGAAGTCACATGAGTGCACACTCAGGCTTCTCTTAACTGATGCTCTTTCAGCTCTTACTGCCATCCAGAATTACTCCGAGGCCTGGTCACCTGGGACTCCCAACGCCATTGGCTGCCTCTCCTCCGCGGTCAGCCACCAGCCCCCCACTTCCCACAGCAGCGTCGCCTCACTTCGTCCCGCCCCAGCCTGGCCACGTCCCTTTAGCTCAGGGCCTTTTCTTAGGCACACAAGCATCCCAGCTCCTCCGGAGACCCACAGCCCTGCCCTCCCTCACTGAGGGGGCACCTCAGGACCAGAATTCTTCCTTCTTTGTGCGCCCTGATTACACCCCGCTCCAATCCTGAGCCCCTACTGGCTGCCCATCACTTAGAGATGCAACATCTCACTCTCTGGTCAGTTTCCCCAGACTTTGAACTCTTCCTCCCTGCCTTCCTTCCGGTTTTGCCATCAATCCCTCATTCACACGAATTTTACCAGAGGCAGTGACTCTGGGCCAGCCGCTGTAGTTCTCTCTGCAGATTCCTTAAATAAACATGTCTCCTTATTCATAACAAACACTTCTCTACCATAACAGGTGGGAGGACACCGTGCCCACTGTGTTCACGGCAGAATCCCCGGCGACATGAGGTCATGAATGAGCATAAACCACTTCCCTCGGTGCTGAGGGGAGGAAGGGCTACATACCCTGTAGGGAAGTCACCTGTGTAATCTTCTTTTTTGGTTTTGTTTAATTATGAAGATCAACACCCAGCGCTACTTATCATTGTCTTTCGGAGCCAAATGGTAAAGTTTCCCGAGTGAAACTCACTCCAGGTGATAATGAAGCCCGTGACCTCCGGGACCATTAGGGAACATAAGTTTCCCACGGACAGGGACAGCCACTGAGGTCATCCCCGAGGAGAGGGACGGTGGGGAGAGCCGGAGACTCATCACTCGTGCATCCAGGGCCAGGCCACCTGAGACGGGCCTGGCAGTCTCAGCAAGACACCGGCTTCTCCAACAGAGGCAGCCGAAGCAGCGTACACACGGGATGAGCACGCCCAGGAAGACCCCGGTGCGGACTGGCTCATGCCTACCCAGGACAGCCTCCCCGCCATGGAGCACAGCGCTCCTGTGCTCACGTGACCAGGAGCAGAGAGCGGGAGGACCGGGTGCAGGGAGCGCCAGGGCAGAAAGAAGGACTTCTTCCTAAAGAAGTAACGTCAAGGAGCAGGTGCACTGGAAAAAAGGAGCTGAGGAAAGGACAAGACGCGAATCCTGCCCGTGCCTCCTCTCCATATCCGATATCCGACGTGCAGGTGGCAAGGACGGGAAGGAATACACGGGAGTCTTGTAGGAGACGGTGTCGCCAGCCTCCCAGCCCCGGGTAATGCTCCCTCCGTCCTCCCTGGCCAGGGGGCCATCTTCCAAGGGTAACCCTAAACAGGCTTGTCTCGCAGACTCGGTCAAAGGTCACCACCGCCCCCCCACCACCACCACCACCACCTCGGATTTCTAACATAATGGTCTATTATTCCTGCCACTATTCAAAATGTCATAAAGTAGGAACTGAACTATTTTACAAGTGGACATTCAAAATAATCTATAATACAATAGTAAAAGGGTAATATGCGAATTAGACCGGACATCCATCCGGAAGGAAGACCTTCTGGACGAAGCCGGGGCTGTGAGGGAAGCCGGTGCCGGCAGTCGGGGGAAGGCAGGCCTCCTCTTGCACACATTTCGTGCATCAGGCCTCTAGTAGGTATTATAATTAACCCCATATCTACTTTATGTAAATTAAGATTCAGCTTCTATTACCAAAATCGTAATGTGAGTAGTGTTGCTTAAGGGGAAACCAGAAGGAGGACTAAAATAGAATTGCCTGTTTACTCTACCTAATTTCTTGGGAATGTTTTGAAGGGGTGGGTGGCCGTTTGGCGGTAGCCACGGTGTGCCTGTAATTACCGGGACACCTGGGTGTGCGCATCAGGGCAGCTCTGATTCACACGCCGACTCACAGGATAATTGCATGTTCCGAGGCTCGTCTACTGCCCGTCCTCACAGAATCGCACTGTAATGCCCAGGGCCAGGGCTCTTTCTTACTCGCTCTGTGATCACCCCTAGCTTTGAGGGTTCCTCTAAACTGCCCCAAACGCTAACATGCAGACGCCTGACCGGCATGCAGAAAGACAATTTACAATGAACTAATCAAGTAGAGAAAGCCACATTCTTTTACATAAGCATAGAAATGCTTAAAGATTTGGAAAAATAAATGTGTGTGTGTGTGTGTGTGTGTGTGTGTGTGTGTGTGTATGTTGGGTGAAAAACGTGAAGAGCTAAAGACTATAAAACCACAAATAGGATAGCACAGTGGTTGGCAAACTCATTAGTCAACAGAGCCAACTATCAACAGTACAACAACAATTGAAATTTCTTTTGAGAGCCGGAAACCGACTTCTGCGCATGGGCCATGAAGTTTCAATGGCACTGTACGTGCGTGCCTGCACATGGTATTTTGTGGAGGAGCCACACTCAAGGGGCCAAACAGCTGCATGTGGCTCTAGAGCCGCAGTTTGCCGACCCCTGGGATTGGATACTTGGGACCTGGAAAAAGACAAGCCAGGCTGTGGGCTCCGGCTCAGCCCTTCCTAGAGACATACCTTGGGCGAAACGTAACTTTTGAAAGCACAATTTCTTTTCTGTGAAATGGGGATAACAACACCCACATCAGAGGGAGGTGGAGTGCGGTGGTTCATATAAGTTGCGGAAGATAGTGCCCATGAGCCGTTAAACGTGAGTTATATCATCGTGACTAACAATAAAGTTCTAACTTCCGAGACGTTTTCCCGAGGACGACCGTGTTTCTGGCTCCAGAGAGTGGAGAAGGGGTGAAGCCATGCGCTCTGGGCTCCTTGCAGGCATGTGTGGCCCACACTACGTCTGGACGCTGAGACACAAAGAGAGCGTCACGTGGTTACCCCGGAAACCTCCTCCCTTATCCATGGCGCATTTACAAGGTCAGGCGGAGCCTCCCTCTGTCCTTCATCCGTCTGCTCCCCGAAACAAGGGTGTCCTTGCCGGAGCCTCGGCAGCCGTGTGGGATGGCTCATGAAGATGAGGGGTGGCTCAGCACAATGCTGGAGGGAGCCAGGGCCCTGACAACCTGAGGAACCGCCTGGAAAGCCCTCGACTTCCTCTCTCTCAACTTCTCTATGAGAGAGAATGAAATCTTGTGCATCAAACCTTGTCTGGGTCTCGGCTAGAAACCAAACCCTCCCTGGTACACTGAGGTCTCAGCCGGCGAGGCTCCGTGGCTGAGCGTCGACCTATGAACCAGGAGGTCACGGTTCCATCATATGCCCAGTTGCGGGCTCGATCTCCAGGGGGGGCTGTGCAGGAGGCAGCTGATGAATGATTCTCTCTCATCACTGATGTTTATCTCTCTCCCTCTCCTCCTGAAATCAATTAAAAAGTATTTTTTTGTTTGTTTGTTGTTTGTTTTTTAAGAAAAGCAGCGATTCCTAGGCAAGCATTCTGGTTTGCTCCGCCCACCGTGTGGCCTTCCGACAGGTGTCCTTGGCCTCTGCTTTATCCACGCGAAGGGGCCCACGCAGGTCGCAGGGGAGCTGTGGACACGCATCCCACTTTAACCTCGAGAGGACAGCGTAGAGGAATCACCGCGCCACATCAGGGCTCGCCACTTCTATTTCTGACACACAACTCAGTCACGCCAGGAAAGTGGGTCCCCTCCCCACAGGACACCCGAACTAGTTCAAGCCAGTGATGGCACTGACCTCGTCCTTTTTTAAAAAATGAAATTGGGGTGACCTTTGATGACACCAATCTTGAGTAGCCTGCCTGTCCCTATGAAAGTATCTAGCGTGTGCTGGCAAGTTCTGTCGGGGTGAGCAGCAATGTTGAAAACGTAGACTCCAGGAAAAAAAGCAATGGTCTCAAAAAATGCATCCTTTTCAGAGGAGCCTCGAGCAAAGCAAATTTGAAGGACCTGGACCTCCTACTGCTGCGTGTCATTAAGGCAATTCCCTCAAGCCCCCCCGTGCTGGGCCAACTACGACCCGCACACAGTCCAAAGGAAAGGAATGCATGGGCCCCAGCCGAAGTCTCACTTTGCAGCCCTCTCCCCACTCCCTGCTCCGGGCCTGGTCTCAGGCAGGAGCCCAGGGGTATTTGGGTGAAGCCAAACAAAATATGCTTCTCTCTTTACACAATTCTTTTTTTTTTTAAGCTTCTATTATTTTAAGAAAAGGAAAAAGGCCATCCGTAGTTATGGAGAAATACCAGCCTCAAGCACAACAAATCTTACTGACAGAAGTTTGAAACTGTCTCCAGTTAATAAACATTCTGCCAAACCAGAAATCCGTATTAAAAGACTGTGTAAACAAACAAAAAAGAGAAAAGAAAAAAAACAAACAAAAAAAAACCCCCAAACCACTTGTAACTATGCTACAGAAAGGGCATCAGGCCCTCTCTCCCCCCTTCTCATAGGAGCCATGAAAACAATTTAAGAACAACAGTTTACAAGTCAGAAGTACTGGGCCATGAATCTGTCCTAACTTCCGGCTTCTCGGCTCTATAATGTCTTAGAAACGCTTAAAAAAAAAAAAAAAAGGAACTTTAATTTTTATAAAGATCATATTTATACATACATTCTCCTCTCCCTTCCAAAATATTTATTCTCAGCTCCTGGGTCCCCTTAGCACCTCCCTAAGTATAAGGCAG